GCATGCAGTGAGCAGCAAGATTGGCACCTTGCCGTTTCCAGAACCAGCATGACGTCACACTGCCTCCGTTCTTAAGTACAAGTCGGATGTAAGTTGGATCTCCACTTGCTTCTGGGTCTTGTGCTGAATGGCTGCCCTGCCGCATTCTGAACACAGAAGGCTGCCCACCCAGCATTGGCGCCATTCAGAGATTGCTTTGCATTTTTTCATTGAATGCTAAATGTTCTTTGATTGGACGAGGTGAAGTGGTGGGGTGATGATGTCACGCTCTCCACCTTGTTCAAACAGAGAATACTTTCCAAATAAACAAACAAAACCAGCACTCAAATCTTCATGCAGACTAGAATAACTTTTAAATGCATGTGTTGAGGTGCAGCCCTTAGAAGATCGGGAAATCTTGGTACTAGTGAACAAAAGCAAAACAGGGCGCACTCTCATCGTGCATTACCGTAGTGAACACAAATTTATTTAAAAGCATATACATGCATACTCACAAACCAAAGGGGGATAAAAACAGAGAAGAAGAGTCTGTAATAACAGTCCAAAGTGACGGTAGACCTTTGGTAGGGTAAGCTAACGCATTTCGGGAGGCGTACACCCTTCTTTGGACTGTTATTATGGACTCTTCTTCTCTGTTTTTACCCCCCTTTGGTTTGTGAGTATGTATGTATATGCTTTTAAATAAATTTGTGTTTCACCACGGTAATGCATGATGATAGAGAATGCTTTGCATTTGTTGAGGCAATGCAAAGCATTTTCTGAACAGTGCCCATGCCAAGTAAATGAGCTCCTGTGTTCAGAATGCAGCAGGGCAGTTCAGCATGTGACTCATAAGCAAGTGGAGATCACTTGAGTAGCACTACTACCAGGGGCGGCCTGACCATTTGGAAACTCTGGCACTGCCCGAGGGCCCAGGGTCAGTAGGGGGCCCCATGAGATGCCCCTGGTACCTGGTATTTACATCCCCTATTGCCCGGGGGCCCCAAGTTGTGTCCGCCTAACTCAGTATGTTCCATGGTGGTTCCAAAAACATCGGTCCAAGCTAATCCATACCTGGAATTCTTCTCTATTATTTAACTAAAATTGGGCTTTAGGCCTTAGCAGTGCATGGACATATGATCTCTCCAATCACAGCATATGGAGACCATCTGTACATGTTTTGCCCACAAGCTCACTGGGTACAAATTGTTGACAGGTGCAGATGGGCTGTTGGGTGGAAGTTGCTTTCTGGTCTAAAGCCTCATCCACACAGGGCATACAATACCTTACGTCCATGCAGGGCCGTGTTTTCCTGCAAAGGAATACACAGATGTTCAGTGCATTCCCATGCAGGAAGTCCCGCTGAAGTCTAATGGGACACAGCCGCTGTGTCCCAATATGTCATCTGTGTGGGTATGGGTGCGTGTGGAGCCTTGTCCCCAAATTCACCCTGCATGGGAATATGTATTGTACGCCCTATGTGAATGAAGCCTAAGGGACAAGGTGGTGGAACATCAATAAGCCAAGCTTCTATTCTCCCAGTTCAATCTTTATCTATTGGGAAATTTACAGTGTAAGTCCAGCTGAAACAATTTTATTAGCTTTAGAGTGGAGAAGAATTGAAATTCCTGTTGAGTTTTCACTGCTATCCAGGGCTCCTTTAGAGAAATTTCCCCTCTCTTCTTCCTGTGACAACAGTTTCACAAGACAGGAAGTGAGAGAAAATCTGCAATGGGATCAGAGACAGAAATAAAAATTTGACAGGGGTTCTAGACTTCCCCTGCTCTACTGAAAAATAAAGTGTTTTTACTTCTGTGCTGTTGCTTGTGATTTTCTCATTTCTGTCTGGTGAAACTGTTGCTGCCTTAACCTCCCTGGCGGTATGATTATTTCAGATTTTTGGTGCTGAAAGCGGTACCATTATTTTGCATGGAAAGTTGGCATTTTATATTGTAGACCTGCAATTTTTAGGAATAACTCACTGAAATCTGTCCGAACAAGAGTCTAGTAAAAATCCCGGGTAGGATAAAACTTGAAACACGAAATCATAAATTATAATTTAATAAATAATCATAAAAAATAATAATATAATAATACATTTAATTCAATAATATAATCAAACCAAAAACACTGAAATTTGAAATATTGGGCCAGGTTCGCACATCACTGAGCAAAGTCGCAAAATCGTTTTCAGTGTCTGATGACGAATTTCCCCACAAATCATTATCACTCAATTCTGCAAGTGGTTCTAATTTACTATCGCTGTTCTCTAGCCGTTCTAAAACCGCTTTTGACCTAAAGGGATGCTTTTTGGATGCCATGGACATTTCTCAGTTTCCAGGCAGAAAGAACAGTAAAAATTAAGGCAGGGCACAGGACAAAGCACTCGGGACAAAATGTATGTGAAATGGTTTGATACAGTAATGTTTTACTATGTGATTTTAGTGATTTTTGTGAATGTCACTTTTTGTCATTTTCAAATTTCCCACCATTCCGTCCCCCGTACGTCCCGACGCTCGCAGGGAACGGAACCCAGAAGACAGATGCCGGCATCCGCCGGATTACATTGCCGAGGACACTGCAGGAGGGACATCGCGGGAGCGCAGGACAAGGTAAGTGATCGAGGGATCGTGGAGCAGCGCCGCATGGTAAGCCCGAGTGTAGCTCGGGGTTACCGCGTGTGGTACTGAAACTTTACCCCGAGCTACACTCGGGAATACCGCCAGGGAGGCTACGAAAACTCTCCATTGGAGTCCCAGATAGCAGTAAATACCCAGCAGGGCTTCCAATCTAAAATGAAAAAAAAAGATTTGGCTGAGCATACACTCTATCAGGGGGGGGGTCTGAAAACCTTTGTTATAACAGTGTAAGCGAGACTGCTGTCAAAGTCCAAAAAAAAAAACAGTAAATGAAAATACCACATATAAAATGAACTAATATTTTTGGCTCCATTCACACGCACAACAACAACCGTACTGCATGAATAAGGCATTTGTTTTTTTGTGCCTGCATCCATCCTGGGCTGCATGCAGGCAGCCTGACAGTGCAAGCAGGGAATGCAGATGCAGCAGCTGCATGGACACAGCCGCATGTCAAAATCTGACAGGCATGCAGGAGCGGGTGCAGAGAGTGTGGGGTTTATTTACTAAAGCTGGAGAGTGCAAAATCAGACTCACTTCTGCATAGAAACCAATCAGCTTCCAGGTTTCATTGCCAAAGCTTCATTGAACAAGCTGAGGTTAGAAGCTGATTGGTTTCTATGTAGAAGGGAGTCTGATTTTGGACTCTCCAGCTTTAGTAAATAAACCCCTGTGTGTTCGGAGCCTTGTATCTGCTCTTGCACACCTGTCAGATTTTGTGTTCATGCAGCCGCTGAGTCTGTGTTCACCTCTATAGGCCACTTGCACGTAGCTCAGGATAGATGCAAAGGCAAAAACAAATGGCTCATTGCAGTGAGGATGCCAGCGCCCATGTAAATTAAACCTTTTTAAGTGGAGTTACCATGTTAATATCTCCCCTTCTGTATTACACAGTGTAAATCTCCAGTCTTGCTGACACTATCCCACGGTTTGTAATATAATGGAAGCAGATTCTATTACACAAGATCCATTAATCATAATGTTCTCTCCCTCTCATGATACAATGTTATTTCTAGGAGATAAAAACCTTCCAGAGAATATTTGTTATGTAGGAACTCTTCGGTGTAGTATTGATGGAGATCTCGGTTGCAGTATAAATACATCTGCTCTCTGCCAAACATAGAGCATTACCAGGATCTGGATCCTGAGCAGGAAAGCTTTCAGATATCTCAAACTGGAGTATTAATTGGACTCAGTTTGCTTTGGACAGGATTACACAGTTTCCTCTTGCGATTTTTATCTTGCACTTTTTCTGTTGCTACTGTAAATCACAGACTGGTGCTTACTTTCCAAGCAGGCCAGAATTGTAACTTGGGAATTGTAGTTCGACAAAACCAGATTTCCGATCCTGTTACTGTGTATCCCTATATGCTCTTTCAGCCACTAGTCTTGTTTGAAGCTGTTTGGTATCCTCAGCCCTGGTTCACACTGATTCACTGAAAACGCTGCGAATTCCGCACCGCATCACAATCGCATCCCATTCACATAGACTGATGTGGGTGTGTATGTTAAGTTAATGACACCCCAACATCGGTCCCCAAAAAGGGTTTCCCTTTGTATCCCGAAAAATTATTTTGGCAGTTGTGGCTGCAATCTTTCTTGGTCTACCTGACCTTGGCTTGGTATCAAGAGATCCCCAGACTTTCCACTTCTCAATAGGTGATTTAACAGTACTGATTGGCATATTCAAGGCTTTGGACATCTCTTTATGTCCTTTTCCATCTTTATGAAGTTCCATTACTTTGTTACGCAGGACTTTTGACAGTTCTTTTCTGATCCCCATGGCTCAGTATCTAGCCTAGTCAGTGCTTCCACGTAAGAGCTAACAAACTCATTGACTATTTATACACTGACACTTATTGCAATTTAAAAAGCCACAGATGTGGGACATTAACCTCTAATTGGTATTTTAACCTGTGTGTGTCACCTTGTGTGTCTATACCAAGGCCAAACATTCCAGGGTATGTAAACTTTTGATCCGGGCCATTTGGGTGATTTCTGTAATCATTATGATTTTAAAAAGGAGCAAAACAACTATTTGATAATAAATGGCTTCATATGATCATCATCCTTCAATAAAAGAGCATTTTTTGGCATGATCAGTCATATTTTCAATACCAATGCCAAAATTTCACAATTTCTGCCAGGGTATGTAAACGTTTGAGCACAACTGTAGGTGTGAATACCCATGTGATCCGATTCTAGTGCGGACCAAAAAAGGGTCTTGCACATTTTTGGTGTGGGTGCGGTGCGAATAGAGCCATACAAAATCTATGGCTCCAGTCGCAACGCATACAAATTGCATGTGATTTGTACAGGAATGCAGTGCAGTTCCTGTGCAAATCACATGGGATTTACCACAATGCACTAATGTGAACCCAGGCTGAACCTCCTTAGCGGTATTCCCGAGTGTAGCTCGGGGTAAAATTTCTATACCAAGAGCGGTAACCCTGAGCTACACTCGGGCTTACCATGCGGCGTTGCTCTGGGGGTCCCTGCAGCACTTACCTTGTCCTGCGCTCCCGCGATGTCTCCCCTGCAGCGTCCCCGGCCATCTCCTCCGGCCGATGCCGGCATCCGGCTTCTGTGTTCCGGTCCCTGTGACGTCGGGACGTACGGGCGCCTTAACCGGCCGGCGGGAAATTAGAATTTTTTAAAAAATGTAATTTTTTGCTGTCATTGCTGTTTCAATGCATTTCACATATATTTTGTCCCGAGTGCTTTGTCCTGTGCCCTGCCTGCATTTTGAATGTTCTTTCTGCCTGGAAACTTAGAAAAGTCCATGGCGTCCAAAAAGCGTCCCTTTACGTCAAAAGCGGTTTTAGAACAGCGATAGTAAATCAGAACCACTTGCAGAATTGAGTGATAATGATTCGTGGGGGAAATTCGTCATCAGACACTGAAAACGATTTTGCGACTTTGCTCAGCGATGTGCGAATTTGCCTCTGTATTTCAAATTTCAGTGTTTTTGGTTTGATTATATTATTGAATTAAATTTATTATTATTATTATATTATTATTTTTTATGATTATTTATTAAATTATAATTTATGATTTCGTGTTTCAAATTTTATCATATGCAAAATGTTTACTAGACTCTTGTTCGGACAGATTTCAGTGAGTTATTCCTAAAAATTACAGCCTACAATAAAAAACTACATATTTCCATGCAAAAAAATGGTACCGCTTTCAGCACAAAAAATCGGAAAGAATCATACCGCCGAGGAGGTTAAGAGAGTGAAAGTTTGATTCTGATCAGTGGTTGCTGCACGTTTTTTTTTGGTGTTTGGCACGAATTTGGGTTAGGTTAGTGTTAGGGTCACACACACACCATTTACGCATGGCATGCAATTGCACAGGGGCCCTCGAAGACCTATGAATCCATTTATACTAGATGATGGCTGCTGGGTGCCCTCCAATGCTACATAAACCTGGACATGGCTCTATTCTATCTAGCTGTCAATCGCCACACAGTGAATAAGGCCTCATGCACATGTTTTGCTTCATCCTGATATAAGGGGTATTCTGATGGGGGACCTGATATAAAGGGGGCCTCTGATGGGGACCCTGATGTAAGGGGTATTCTTTTAGGGACCCTGATGAGACCCTGATGGAAAGAGGCCTCTGATGGGGACCCTGATATAAGGGGGACTAATTTATTTGTAAAACTATTTTTTTAGGCCTGCAAATATTTGTAAAAATATATGATGTGGCCCTTGTATTGAAAAAATTGGAGACCCCTGGTGTACACCCATACCCAGAAGCCTGTTAAAAATCAATGTTACGGCTGTACGGTACATCGGGCACACAAACAAACATCTTTTTATTCATTTACAGGTCTATGTTCCCAGTGAAAAAAAAAAACACTATGGGGTTGATTTACCAAACATAAATTGTTTCATTTTGCATGTGCAGTTGCTCCAGAGCTTTGAAAATTAGATTAAATTTCACTTTACAAAGATTACCCAATCATAAGTAAGAAAAAGAAAAATAAAACAGCATTTCTGTGTGCACATGATTGGATGATGGAAGTCAGCAGAGCTTCCCCTCATTTACTTATCTCTGGAGCAAATGCATGTGCACAGTCCATTTGCCTTCAGTAAATCAACCCCTGTGTATATTTACTTGGCCAGCTGCCGACGGGGGGCATATTTAGTCTAGCACGGGGGCCCTTTGGTGACTCTGGCATAATTTCAGGTCTAGAGTTGGGCAGCGCAGTGGCTAAATGGTTAGCACTTCCACCTGGCAGTACTAGGGTCATTGGTTAAAATCCCAACCACAGCACCACCTGCCTGGAGTTTGCATGTTCTCCCTGTGCCTGCGTGGGTTTCCTCCAGGTACTCTGGTTTCCTTTCACACTCCAAAGATATGCTGGTAGGTTAATTGGCTCCTGTCTAAATTGGCCCTAGTATGTGTATGTATGAATGTAAGTTAGGGACCTTAGATTGTCCACTCCTTGAGGATTAGGGACTGATGTGATTGTACAGTATATGTAAAGTGCTGCATAAATTGATGGCACTATATAAGTACCTAAAATAAATAAAAATAGAGTTTGTAAGATTAAGGTGTTGGGGGAAAGGGTTAAAAGGAACCTGCCACTTTGCCCATTAAAGAAAAGTAACAAGGCAGATTCCCTTAGCACTTCCCTGACCCAGCAACTGCTGTCTTCCCTGGTAATCACTGTTTTCCTGCTCCTTCTCAGAAATACCTGCTACATCTGGATATGGGTACCTTCTTCTTATTCACGGGATGTTCTCCCCCTTCAGTTCCAAGAAATGAGAGCTCAGAGTTATTCTAAGTACTGTATTCACCCCCATATGACAGCACAGGACCAGCACCAGCGCTGCCATGCTCCCCCATACTCTGAAGTACTGGCAGAGGTCAGAGCAGTAGAGGAGCGAAGGAAAAGGTATCTTCTGTTGGCATAAGAAGAAGGGGGGACTCCAGATGATAGAAGGCAGTCCTCAAAGTGGTACTAAACTCTGGCAATTAAAAACAAATCCTGTGCAAGGCAATGGCATAATGTGGTAGTATGCATGACATATAAGCACATTATGACAAACGTACCTTAAATTTAATGTCAGTTCTGCACATGTGTAGTCACAGCTATGGTATGGAGCTCTGAAGGGGCAGCGTGATTGACATCATCAGCTGCAGCGACAGTGAAAATCTCTTAAATGGTGCACGTTTAGGACATATTCACTGTACCTGCTGGTAAGCCTTATTATAGGTGTACTTGTAGGTACAACTGAAAAAATTGAGTTTACCACCACTTTAATGAGTGTCCTCAGAGAAAGATCAGATTAGAAAGCGTTGCCTTACCGCTCTTGTTTTCCCTGGAGGGAGGAGAGTCTACACTAGTATTGGTCAACTTATCTAAAATAAGGGGCCTCAAGTGCGGCCCCGAGACCAAAGGGCCGCATATAATAATAATTGCATAACATAGATGCCAACTGTCCTGGATTTACAAGCCATTTCCTCTTGTTCCACTTCCCTCCCTCCTAGATTGTAAGCTCGAAAGAGCAGGGCCCTCGAACCCCTCGTGTATTGTATTGTTACTGTCCTGTCTCATGTTCTGTCCCCCTGCTATTGTACAGCGCTGAGCAAACCCTTTGGCGCTATATAAATACTATATAATAATAATACAAGCACAGTCTCGCATCTCTGTCCTCCTTCCCGATGATGCAATGTCTCAGGTTGTGCCCTGAGATCACACCCCTCTCTCACACACCGCATGCACATTACCTAATAAAAGGATATCAGATCTGGAGATCGTAGATGTGAGCAGGGGTGTATTTACCACAAGGCAAACAAGGCATTTGCCTAGGGTGGCATTTTTCAGGGGGGCAGCACTGCCCCTTGAAAGAAGGGGCGGAAGACGGAACATGCGCGGCATGGGAACTTGGTGGGTTCTGAGAGATGCTGTGGGTTACATGACGGTGTATGCAAAGCCCGATTCTCGTTCCTGAGGATGTCCGGAGCTGTGAAGGTGAGTGTCTCTCTCTCTTTCTCGACATGTGGGATGGTGGCTGGTGTATGGGGGGCAGTGGTAGTGGAAGGCTCGGATTGAGGGCAGGGGTGTTCTTGGTCAATGTCAGGCTCTTTTGTACGGGGGGGCTCCAATTTTTGTGTTTTGTGCAGCACAAAATCTAAATACACCACTGGATGTGAGTGAGCAGTTCCTGCATAATTAGTGGTGGGACAAGCCAGAATATGACTCTAATGACTATGGCCCTGGTGGCCGACCTACAACCCAGGGACCAAATTTGGCACTTACTTTAGCTCCTGCAGAGATTCTGTTTTGGTTCCATTCTGTAAAATATGTTCTGATAGTTTGGTTTCATATTCTAATGGTTTGATTTTTTCACAATGTCTTACCTTTTTCTGTGCTGTCTGTCCCTTTTCTTGTTTTATGTTGTTTCCTCTATGCTTCTATAACAGATCTTGCGAAGAGTAATATCAGATGTGACACAAATGTTTTGCAAGGGAGCTGGAGGGAGAACAAATGTGGAAGCAATCATTTGTAAAGTGGCTGTAATAGCAATGATCAGTCTCATCTAACATATCTCTGATCTCTGACAGTCTCTTGAACCGTGTCCCCGGTCTCCAACAACTCCTATAGAAGGAGTATCAAAATAAACTTCACAGAGGTCAAGTCAATAAAATTTTTCTTCCAGCAGAGGTCCATATCACATATACTGTATTCTATGACTCAGATCCCTCACATCACAGTTTCCCACCTTTTCACCACAGCCCCCCTTCACATCACAGCTACCCCCTTTATATCACAGTCCCATTTACAACAGTGTCCCCAGCACCCCCCCCAAACTTTACATCACAGAACCATCCTTTACATCAGTGTTTTCAGTCTCCCTTCACATCACAGTCCCCCCTTTACATCTGTGTCCTTAATCTCCCCCCTTCACATTACAGCACCCTTTCATATCACAGCCCCCCCCCCCCCCCCCCCCATCCCTTTACATCAGTGTCCTTAGTCCCCCCTTCACATTTCAGCTACCCCCTTTATATCACAGTCCCATTTACAACAGTGTTCTCAGCAACACCCCCCCCCCCCCTCCCCCCCCCAACTTTACATCACAGAACCATCCTTTACATCAGTGTCCTTAATCTCCCCCCTTCACATCACAGCACCTTTCACATCACAGCCCCCCCCCATCCCTTTACATCAGTGTCCTTAGTCCCCCCCTTCACATTTCAGCTACCCCCTTTACATCACAGTCTACCCCCTTATGTCAGCATCCTCAGTCTCTCCCTTCACATCACAGCCCCCCTTTAAACCCCACCTTCCCCTTACATCAGTGTTCTTATTCCTCCCCTTACATCACAGTCCCTCACCTTTACATCACATTCTCCACCCTTTACATCAGTGTCCTTAGTTCCCTCTTCCATCAAGCCTCCTCCCCCTATACATCAGTGTCTTCAACCCCCCCCCCCACATCCCAGTCCCCCCTTTACATCAGTGTCCTCAGCCCCCTCCTTCACATCAGTCCTCTGTTTACAGCGCAGTCCCCCCCTTTACATCAGAGTGCTCTCTTTACACCAGTGTCCTCAATGCACCCTTCATATCACATTTCCCCTTCTACATGCTTGTCCTCAGTCCCCCCTTCACATTACACCCCCCCCCCCCCCCTCACATAACAGACTCTACTTTACATCCTTTATATCACAGCCCCCCATTTTATTTATTATTTATTTCAGGTACTTATATAGCGCCGTCAGTTTACACAGCACTTTACATACATATTGTACATTCACATCAGTCCCTAATCCTCAAGGGGCGTACAATCTAAGGTCCCTAACTCACATTCATACATACACATACTAGGGACAATTTAGACAGGAGCCAATTAACCTGCCAGCATGTCTTTGGAGTGTGGGAGGAAACCCACGCAGACACGGAGAACATGCAAACTACAGGCAGGTGGTGCCGTGGTTGGGATTAGAACCAACGACCCTAGTACTGCTAGGCGGAAGTGCTAACCACTTAGCCACTGTGCTGCCCTAGAGCCACTGTGCTGCCCTAGAAAAATTTTCCATCACAGTCTATTTTTCCTTTCCATCACAGTCCCCCGCCTTTTGTTCAGTCCTACCTTACATAGCAGGGCCGAGGGCAGGAGGTGTGGAAGGTCCAGATAGAGGACAGACGCTGTCCAACGTTTCATGTTATTAAGCAGGTGATTGGTTGTTGGGACCACCCTGTGTCCTAGCAACCAATCACCCACTTGATAAATTAAAAAGTTGAGCAGCTCTTGCCCTTCATCCAGATCTGCCAAGCCTTCCACCCTCTGTCTTGCTGTGAGGATGGTCTGGATCTGGACCACAGTCTCTGTTCACAGTCTCTGGCCTGTAGCAATGTCTGAAGTCTCTGACTATTTCTTGTATCATGTCTGCAGTCTCTGATTGTCTCCTGTATCATGCCTGTGTAACACCCTGTTATATTGCAAGCTGGAGAATGTCAACAGAAACAGAAGATGGCAGTGTCTTGCAATTCAGTGGCACTCTGTAGAGTAGCCCCATGGAGGAGCAGTGTACCAGAGGACTACATTTCCCAGAGGATCTGGCATGTGGGCGGGGGACATTTATATGCAGAAGCCTGGGAGACTGGACAGGGAGTGAGAGGGGAGAGAGCTGGAGAGCAGAAGTAGAGAGAGAGTTGTGCTGACTGCCAGAGAACTGGACCAGAGAGGAAAGGCAAGGAGGAGTTGCTGAGTGCTAGCCTTTCCACCCTGTTCAGCGAGACATTCTGCCAGCAGGAGACTTGGAGCACAGTGTCTGGACGGAACACTGCAAGTGAGACCGGAGAACCTGTGGGTGCCCCCCATCCACTGAGAGAGAGTCAGGACCTGCTGGAAGCCACCTATCGAGTGAGAGAGTCCCATACACCAGCCAAACAAGTGAACGCTGACATTCTTTTCATATCTGCTACTTTCCTGCACACAGGTGCGGACATTGCATATAGTTAACACATGTTGCGGCCTAGTTCCCCGGCTGCTACTTTTGAACATATTTGCAGCACAGTCCAATCATCAGAGCTGACCGCAGTGCATGCCTTCTGCAGGCCAGATCACATCCGTGCTCCCTTAACCATTGGCCTTCCCTCTTAACCTCCCTAGCGGTCTGATTATGTTAATATTTCTGTGCTCAAAGTGGTACATTTTTTTGCATGGAAATATGTAGTTTTTTTTATTGTAGGCCTGTAATTTTTAGGAATAACTCACTGAAATCTGTCCGAAAAAGAGTGTAGTAAACATCCCGGGTAGGATAAAATTTGAAACACAAAGTCTTAAATTATAATATAATGAATAATCATAAAAAAAATAATATAATAATAATAATAAATTTAATTCAATAATATAATCAAACCAAAAACACTGAAATTTGAAATATAGCGCCAAGTTCACACATCACTGAGCAAAGTCGCAAAATCGTTTTCAGTGTTTGATGACGAATTTCCCCACGAATCATTATCACTCAATTCTGCAAGTGGTTCTGATTTACTATCGCTGTTCTCTAGCCGGTCTAAAACCGCTTTTGACCTAAAGGGATGCTTTTTGGACGCCATGGACGTTTCTCAGTTTCAAGGCAGAAAGAACAGTAAAAATGCAGGCAGGGCACAGGACAAAGCACTCGGGACAAAATGTATGTGAAATGGTTTGATACAGTAATGTTATACTATGTGATTTTAGTGTATTTAGTGAATGTCACTTTTTAACATTTTTGAATTTCCCGCTGGTTCAGTTCCTCGTATGTCCCGACAGATGCTGGCATCGGCCGGAGGAGATGGCCGGAGACGCTGTAGGGAGGACATTGCGGGAACGCAGAACAAGGTAAGTGCAAGAGGGAATCCCTGAGCATCGCTGCAGGGTAATCCCGGGTGTATAGAAAGGAGGATTTGTGAAAAGGAATTCACAGAAAAGCGGCTACATTATGAACAGAATGTGACACTCAGAAAAATTTCCAAAAATTATGCTTTTTATTACACTTATAAATATGACATATGGGCAGTCGCCCTGGCTTACCATCACCTCAGTATGAGACAATACACACAGACCTAAAACCATTAAAATAACACCAAGACCGGTCTAAATGCATGTGCAACAGAGAAAATGACTACAAGAGTCTAATATCCCTGAGACACAAACACATAGGTAAACACTTCCCAGCGGAGGTGTATCCAAAAATTATACCATAGGTATACCATAATACATGTTATAATATGAGAATACGGCTATTGCCTTAATGGTTATGTCCCAATTAGGGAATCCAAAAAAATATACTATGGATACGGATATCACATGTATGCAATACAGCAAGCACAGAATGCGTCAAGAGAGAACAATATGCCACAGGCCTGTATGAAAAAAGACAAAAATGTCATATGTATAGTGCAATACATTCCTGTGCCGGCACAGGGGCATATTCTCATTTAAGAGCTCTAGGAAACAGCTGTTTATACAGATGAATGGGCCCCAACCACTTGTGCCGGCACAGGAATATATTGCACTATACATATGACATTTTTGTCTTTTTTCATATCTCCAATCTGTGTGAAAGTCTACTTTCTGCTGGCAGTTTACACTGGCTAAAAGAGTACTTTAGCGTCAGCAGAGGTTGGGCTTTCGGAGAGCTGTCCAGAAGGACAGGGAACTAGAAATAACTCAGTGACTCCTAAATGGGTAGTGCTACACCTGCAGTCTCTGACTATTTCTTGTGTCATGTCTGGAGTCTCTGATTGTCTCCTGTATCATGTCTGCAGTCTCTGGCCATCTCTTGTATCATGTCTGCAGTCTTTGACACTCTCTGGTATCATGTCTGCAGTGTCTGACACTCTCTTGTATCATGTCTGCAGTGTCTGACACTCTCTTGTATCATCTCTGCAGTCTCGGACCATCTCATGTATCATGTCTGCAGTGTCTGGCACTCTCTTGTATCATGTCTGCAGTCTCTGATCATCTCTTGTATCATGTCTACAGTCTCTAATCATCTCCTGTATCATGTCTATAGTCTCTGACCATCTCTTATATCTGTCTGTAGTCTTTGACACTCTCTTGTATCATGTCTGCAGTGTCTGACACTCTCTTGTATCATGTCTGCAGTCTCGGACCATCTCATGTATCATGTCTGCAGTCTCTGACCATCTCTTGTATCATAAGAAAAGTTGAAATTGAAGTACCACACCACTGTTAAGAGGTCCAGATACAACTTTATTCTATTAAAGGTCAGGGGTATAATTTCAGAAGTAGCCAACACGTTTCCGGGGACCAAGTGCCCCCTTCGTCAGGGCTTGACTGTCAATAAATTGAACAGACCAGGAGTGAACTGGACCTACAATGGTATTTATTCCAGTGTGAATTAAAAGCAAAGGTCTAATCAGCAGCTTGTTTGGCAGCCAAACAAGCTCTGACCATCTCTTGTATCATGTCTGCAGTCTCTCAATTTCTTGCATCATGTCTGCAGTCTCTGACAATTTTTGTATCATGTCTGCAGTCTCTGACAATTTTTGTATCATGTCTGCAGTCTCTGACACTCTCTTGTATCATGTCTGCAGCCTCTGACAATCTCTGACAATCTGCTGTCTCTCTGACAATCTGCTGTATCATAGCAAACTCTATACTCCTGTGCTGGGGATGGACTCAGCAGAGGCTATGGTAACAGTTCAGATATCCTGGAATATGCACTCCTTGCTGCCCTCAACGGACCAGGGTAGTCCAAAGTCACTAGATACAAAAGAAAGTAAGAAGAGGGCGAACCAGCCTAGTGTATTATCGTAAAGAATATTTATTAAAAGGATAAAAAGTAGGCATCATACTCACAGTGGACATATAAAAAAAGGCACATCACAATAAACAGTGGTGTCCAATCCATATAGCATATAAATCCAAAACAATTGAACCCTGGACTTCCAACTGGCTAACGCGTTTCGAGGACTTGGGCTCTTCCTCTTTGCTTTCTTTTTATCCAATCTCCTGTATCATGCCTGCAGTCTCTGACCATCTCCTGTGCTATGTCTGCAGTCTCTGACTCTCTTGTATCATGTATGCAAACTCTGATCATCTCTCGTATCATGTATGCTGTCTCTGACCCTCTCCTGTATCATGTCTGCAGTCTCTTATCATCTCTTGTATTACGTCTGCAGTCTGTGACTCTCTCTTGTATCATGTATGCAGTCTGTGATCATCTCTGTATCATAAGTCTGTGACTCTCTTTGTATCATGTATGCAGTCTGTGATCATCTCTTGTATCATGTATGCAGTCTGTGATCATCTCTTGTATCATGTATGCAGTCTGTGATCATCTCTTGTATCATATCTGCAGTCTGTGACTCTCTCTTGTATCATGTATGCAGTCTGTGATCATCTCTTGTATCATGTATGCAGTCTGTGATTATCTCTTGTATCATGTATGCAGTCTGTGATCATCTCTTGCATCATGTATGCAGTCTGTGACTCTCTCTTATATCATGTATGCAGTCTGTGATCATCTCTTGTATCATGTATGCAGTCTGTGACTCTCTCTTGTATCATGTATGCAGTCTGTGATCATCTCTTGTATCATGTATGCAGTCTGTGACTCTCTCTTGTATCATGTATGCAGTCTGTGATCATCTATTGTATCATGTATGCAGTCTGTGACTCATTTCTTGTATCATGTATGCAGTCTCTGTGTCATCTCTTGTATCATGTATGCAGTCCGTGACTCATCTCTTGTATCATGTATGCAGTCTGTGATCATCTATTGTATCATGTATGCAGTCTGTGATCATTTCTTGTATCATGTCTGCAGTCTGTGATCATTTCTTGTATCATGTATGCAGTCTCTGGTCATCTCTTGTATCATGTATGCAGTCTGTCTCATCTCTTGTATCATGTATGCAGTCTGTGATCATCTATTGTATCATGTATGCAGTCTGTTATCATCTCTTGTATCATGTCTGCAGTCTGTGATCATCTCTTGTATCATGTATGCAGTCTGTGATCATCTATTGTATCATGTTTTGCAGTCTGTGATCATTTCTTGTATCATGTCTGCAGTCTCTGGTCATCTCTTGTATCATGTCTGCAGTCTCTGGTCATCTCTTGTATCATGCCTGCAATTTCTGACCCTCTCTTGTATCACTTCTGCAATCTCTGACCATCTCCTGTTGCATCTTTGACACCTTGCTGTGAAACATTCCATTCACCAAATATTATGTGTGGCCCTCTGATGATTTCAGGAGTCACATCTGACCCTCCCTATATCTAGTAAGTTGACCACGACTGCTCTATGGTCACCCTTAGCAGATAAGTGGGGGGACATAGTGATTGCAAAGGTACAAATAAAAAAAATAACAAACATGTTATACATATCTGCTCTGTGCAATTGTTTTGCACAGAGCAGCCCCTTTCCGCCTTTTCTTGGGTCCTCCCCCGATGTTCCTAGCCCCTCCCCCTCCTGAGTGCCCCCAGAGGAAGTTGTTTGCTATGGGGGCACTCGTCCATAAGACACACAGAGCATGGCTCGGCCCCTCCCCTCTGTCCCGCCTCACTGACTGTGATTGGCAGCAGCAGGAGTAAATGAGGAGGGAGAGACTCAGGAGAGCCAAGGTTCCCAAGCTCAGGTAAGTATTGGTGGGGGGGGGGGGGATACTAAAGGTTTTTTACCTTCATGCCTAGAATGCGTTTAAAACCAGCACACAGCTAATGTGTCCTCACTGCCCCGAGAGCCCTATATCATCCAGGGTACAGCCAATGTTGGGCTAATAGATATAGAATAGAAGAATAGTCCGAGGAGGAGGATTGTTGCAGTGCTGGTGACTCACTGGTCATAAGGGCACACACTTGTTAACCTCTTCCCCCCCACACTGGATCCTCGGGGACATCCAGCAAAGTGCACAGCTCTGCTGACATCGTACCTCCCTCCTAACAGGACAGAACCTGCAGGGCACAGAGGGTTAAAGAAGGGGCGTGCCCCCTGGATATTGTATATTCATGAAAGAGGGCGTGGTCTTCGGGGTACTCCGGCTCGTGCAGCGTGAGAGGGGCGGGGCCGGACTCTTTCTGCAGCTGACAGCTGGAGCGAGTCACCGGGAGACACAGGCAGGCGGCAGCGCTAAGGAGACACCGACTGAGGAGCTGGGAGCTGCTCATCATGTATCGGGGGAGATCGGGGCCTGCTGAGCCCAGCTGACCCAGGAGACTGCACACCATTCCTGCCTAGGGATCCAAACCTGCCCTCCTTGTCACCCCCACAGCATCAGCCTGTCCTGCTGACACCCCATCTCTGGGGAACCCCTCTTATAACATATGCTGCATATACTAATACATAGGCACCCCCTTTAAATTGAGCCCCCCACTTCTCCCTTAAATCACTGATCCCCACATTTTTAATACCCCCCCCCCCAAAAAGAACTTTTTTTTTTCTTGTGCCATTCCTGTATTTTTCTTCTCTAGTTCCAAGAAAGTTAAAAAAGTTCAGATTCGGTCCAAACTTTTTGGACTTGGAAGTATAATCCCCCCACTCCATCCACCCCCCCCACGAAGTTATCCCACATCCATCCAGCTGTGACAGGTCTCACTGCAGAGACCCCAGTGCCCATGGCCTATCGCCAGCTCCGCGACACCTGACGGCGAGATCCCCAGAGACCCGGGACCATGGAGGGTGTCACCATGCCGCAGGAGCGCACCTTTCACAGCCCCTTCCTGGAGCTGGAGGACTTGACCGAGGCGGACTTCATGAGCAATGTGGTAAGGGCATGCTGGGGATTGCAGGTGTGTTGGGGGGGGGGGGGGGGGGGATGCTTATCTCATCAGGACCACATCTGCTGGCATCGATGAGACGGCTCATGGAACTAAAAGGCGCAGTGTGTCCAGGGGGCATGCTGGGCCTTGTAGTTCTATCACAGAAGCAGGATCACAGAGTGCAAAATTGTAAAAAAAAATCTAAATGCAAAATAATGAAAGCGGTATTAAACCCCAAAACAAAAATATATATTGCAGCTTACCAGTTCTGCAGTAGTTCTCTTTTTTAGTCTTTTTTTCCTTTATTACCACCTGTTGATCCTGCCAGTAAGTTTATTTTAAAACTTCTAAGCTATCCTGCAGATGTAGCAGTTAGAGAGTTGAGATAAACCATTTACTACTGACGGGGGTGCTTACAATGGTCGGCTTTTATTTTTCATGTCAAACCTTTATCCCAAAAGGAACAAAACTACTGTACCCAGGGGTGGACCAGGGGCAGACTGACCATTTGGAAATTCAGGCATTGGAGGGCACTGCCCCATGAGGCTCCTGGTACCTTTTTCATAGGAGTTTGGGCAAGGACACAGGGGCCCCATGATCCCCTATTGTAGGGGCCCATGAGTTGTCCCCATTTGAAACTTGGGCATGCCCCCGGGGGTCAGGTGAGATGCCCCTTTTTTTCATAGGCTTTTTTGAGTTTGGGCAAGGACACAGGGGCCCCATGATCCCCTATTGCCCGGGGGCCCCATGAGTTGTCAGTCCGCCATTTGGAAACTCGGGCACTGCCCGAGGGCCCGGGGTCAGTAGAGTGCCCCATGAGATGCCCTGGTACCTTTTTCATAGGTTTTTTTGAGTTTGGGCAAGGACTCAGGGGCCCCATGATCCCCTATTGCCCGGGGGCCCCATAAGTTGTCAGTCCGCCCCTGACTGTACCGGCTTATAAAGCATGAGCTGGGGTTCATCTTCAGTGTGTTGGTCCAGGCCATCTAAGCCCCCTAGTTCATCCAAGACGACATTCACACCTGAGCGACACAGAAATGCAGACAGAAACACGCATTGCTGCCCAGGTTTTCAGAAACGTGCAAAAAATGCACAAAAACATACGTCCTGCTTGCGAAGCCATGATTTCTTAACGGCACCCCAGACGCAGGTAGCAGTTGCGTGTTTTGTTGCGCATTTCCACACGTCAAAACAAGTGCTGCTAAATATGCTTGGTTCAGTGCCAAAACATGGCACCTGAGCTTCTTTGGTGCATACGGCCCAATCAAATCAATGGGCTGTTGTGCGAAAAACACACGAAAATGCGCAGCACAACGCTCAGGTGTGAATGCAGCCTAACACTACCCTCTGCTCAAGGTTGACAGTGCAGCTGTACAAAGGTGGCTCTGTTGCTCCTCTAGTAGAGTCTAGCCACCCCAAGACAGGAAGTGTGTTGTTGGCAGGTGACAATAAAAGAAAAAAAAAGGCTAAAAAAAGAAAACTAATGCAGCCACCATATTACAGGATTGGCAGGCTGCAATATAGTAAATTTGAGTTTTTTAAATGCTTTTATGTAGAGCTGAGGATGTGTCCATCATAGAAGATGTTTTGATAACTAAGCCAGAATCTTTCTGCCGTCTACAATGTGATCCCATCTGCTGGGATTAGCAGGTATGTGTCTAGCTGTCATTCCACTCTGGGATGATGTAACGCAACGCTTTGTAATGGATTGACTGACGATGGACCTGTTGAAAGCATTCTCTTCGCTCTCCTGCCATGCAGAGTTTTTGTTCTATAAGCCCCCAGGTTACCCGGGGTTTCATGGTTTAGATGCGTCTGTCGTCTGTAATGATAAACGCATTGTGTGGATTTTGTCAGACAGAGAACATCATCCTTGGGATATAAGTTTAGTTATTTGGCATCGCTCCATGTTATCACAACGCTCCATATAAATCACCGCCAGTGGCTCAGAAGACATTTGTGACTTGCAGGTGCTTCTGATATTGTCTAAGACGCTTGTTTGGTTGGTACGCTTGCTTCCCAAAACCACAAGAAATTCTAATGGAATATTGTTGCCTATCAGTGTGTGGAATATCAGTAATAAAACCGATACAAATCACTTTTTTTAAATTATATATTGGCATCGCTGAGTAACCAGCAGTGGAAAAATCAGTGGGTTATTGACACTTTGTATTTACATTTCTGACTACAGCAGAATTGGAAGATCTGGATGTTGCTGGGTACCTGTACACTGCAGATCATTATTCAAAATGGACACAACCAGGGCTGACTCAAGCTAGATATAAACACGTGACTAGGTTGTCAAGCCTCTGAAATTATTATACAGTATTTATAAAGCGCCAATAGTTCGCTCAGCGCTGTACATTACAAAGGGGGACAGAACATGTGACAGAACAATACAATACAATGCAAAACATGAGGGGATTGAGGGCCCTGCTCTTTCGAGCTTACAATCTAGGATCTGCATTCAGATTGCTTTTCATAGGCATTTGACTGGTGATAAGGAGGTGATGGGGTTATTTACTAAAACTATCTGCTCTGCACAGAAACCAATCAGCTTCCAGGTTTTATTGCCAAAGCTTAATTGAACAAGCTGAAGCTCAAAGCTGATTGGCCACCATGAACAGCAACACCAGATTCTTTGCGCTCCAGTTTTAGTAAATCTTCCCCAATATGTTGCTTCCTCACTGCTTGTTTTAGCCCTTGTTATAGAAAACTTTTGCGGGTTGCCCCTATTTACTCTAAGCCTGGGTTTGCACTTGTGCGGTGCGGTATATTATTATTATACAGGATCTATATAGCGCCGACAGTTTGCTCAGCGCTTCACATTATGGTGAAGTCACAATACAATTCAATACACGAGGGGTTCGAGGTCCCTGCTCCTTGGAGCTTACAATCTAAGAGGGAGGGGCTGGTGGTACAAAAGGTAGTAACTGTGGGGGATGGACTGGTTGGAAGAGTAGAGGATTCCAGTATTAGCTGAGGGCAGGATAGGCTTCCCTGAAGAGATAGGTTTTCAGAGTGCGCCAGAAAGTGAGCAGAGTAGGCGATAGTCTGATAGATTGGGGTAGGGAGTTCCAGAGGATGGAGAAACCCTGGAGAAGTCCTGGAGACGGGCATGGGAGAAGGAGATAAGGGAGCTAGAGAGTAGGAGGTCTTGCGAGGAGCGGAGAGTATGGTTTGGGTGGTATTTAGAGACAAGATTGGTGATGTAATTAGGGGCAGTGTTATGAGCGGCTTTATACGTCAGTGTTAGTGTTTTGAATTTTATCCGTTGGACAATGGGAAGCCAGTGGAGGGATTGGCAGAGAGGGATGGAGGACACTGAGTGGAGGCCAGTGGAGGGATTGGCAGAGAGGGATGGAGGACACTGAGTGGAAGCCAGTG